TTGGCGTGTCTCTGTCTGGCTTGTGCGATTATGGATGCCTTGTCTCAGTTGAATTCGTATCCCTCGTTGTCCGTGTGTAGTGAGACAAGTGAGAATTGGTCGTGTCTCCTGGCTAGTTGGCGTTCATGTATCCGTACAGTCAATTTTCTTCTGGTTTGTCCTATGTAGTGTTTCTCACATTCCTTGCATGGTATTTTGTATATTACCCCAGTTTTGTTGGTTTTGGGTATGGGATCCTTTACGTTTGTCAGTAGCTGTCGTAGGATGGTTGTCGGTTTGTGAGCTACAGGTCTGAGTAGTCTGTGGTCATCTCTGAAATGTCTCTGATGTATGGTAGGGTGATAGTGATTCTGGTCGTGTTGTGTCTTGTTGTGTCTTGTTGTGGTCTGTCTCAGAGGGAACGGAGCTGCATCAGGACACTATTTAAATGAGCCACAACGCATTGCAGTGACCTAGAACTACGCAAAGCAGAACAGGAACACTTATATGAAGTCTTCAAAAGAAATGGATACACGAAAAGCACAATCCGCAGTTACCTCCAAAACAGACCACAACAGGAAGACACAACACGACCAGAATAAAAATATGGCCCCAGCCTTGAAATCCCCCACCCTAAGTAAAAGACATCTGTCATTCACCTTATCTATTAGCCCTCATGATTTTATAAACTTCAATAAGTCACCTCTCAATCTCCTACACTCCAGTGAAAAAAAAAATCCAGCCTGTCCAGCCTCTTCTGAGAACTCAAACCCACCATTCCCAGCAACATCCTGGTAAACCTCTTTTGAACTCTGTCCAGCTTAATAATATGCTTCCTGTATCAAGGAGATCAGAACTGGATACAGTACTCCAGAAGAGGCCTCACCAATGTCCTGTACAGTCTCAACATAATGGCCCAACTCCAAGACTCAAAGGTTTGAAGCAATGAAAGCAAGCGTGCTAAACACCTTCTTAATCACCCTTATCTATATGTTTTGCAAACTTCAAAGAATTATGTACCTGAACCCTTAGGTCCCTCTGTTCTACAACACTACCCAAGGCCCTACTTTTAATTGTATAAGTCTTACCTTTGTTGTCTTACCAAAATGCAATACCTCACATTTATCTAAATTAAACTTCATCTGCCACTCTTCAGCCCAATGACCCAATTGATCAAGATCTTCTTGTAATCTTAGATAACCTCCTTCTTCACTGTCCACTGTACTACCAATCCTGGTATCATCTGCAAAGTTACTAACCATGCTTTCTATATTCTCATCTAAATCATTTATATAAATAACAAACAAAAGTGGACCCAGCACTGATCCCTGTGGAACACTGCTGGTTACAGACCTCCAGCCCGAAAAACAACCCTCCACCATCACTCTTTGTCTTCTGCCTTTAAGCTAATTTTGTATCCAATCAATTTTTGTATCCAGGCAAGTGCACCCTGAATCCCATGTGATCTAACTTTACTAATTGGTCTACCATGTGGAACCTTGTCAAAAGCTTTACTAAAGTTCAAGTAAACAATGTCTATCACTCTGCCCTCATCAATTCATCGGCTATCTCAGTCTATGGTTTTGTTGAATCAGCCACTAGGAAGTGTGCTAATGCAGCGCTGGATAGTTTTTCCTTCTGTAAGTTTTCTTTTGTTTGGGGAAACAAATTATATCTGACATTAGACAAAAAGGGAATTAAGGGCTGCAAAACTCTGGCCTATGATTAGCCAACGTGAGGAAGCTATCTACAGGGTCAGTTTTCAACCCAATTACAAATAGATAGTCGCTCAAGAGATTTCTCCTTACAGGAAAAGAATACCAGTGTTCAGAGAAATTAGAAAATTCAACAGCTCACAGACAAAAGTTATTCATCAGAAACAATCATGTTTCAATTTTAGGATTTAATCCTTTGGGGAATATTTATCCTCAGGACAATCTTTGATAAATATCTAGAATTATGCAGGAACATTTCTGCATATTTCATTATTAATGTTTATCACTGAAAGCTTATAAACATTCTGATGAAATGTGATATTGACATGAGATTGATGTGGGTACAGCTTTGTTTAAAAGACATTTAGATGAGCAATTGAATAGGAAATGTTTGGAGGGATATGGGTCAAATGCAGGCAGTGGGACTCGTTTATTTTTGGATTGTGGTCGGCATGGACTTATGGGCCACAGAATCTGTTTTCAAGCTGTATGACTCTATGACTCCCTGATATCCAAGTCCCACGATGAACAGGACCAAGCTGTGGTCAGTAAAATTTTGATGGTACCACACAGAGGGAACAGAGAACTAAAGGACCAGACACAATCTGCACTTGGCCTTGGAATGGAGGTTTACGTTTTTACACGAGAATGTCAACCAGGATTGCAAAAAACTCTTATCCACAGTATCAAGAGTGGCAAGGTAATTCATTCAAACTGCCAACTGAGGCAGGGAGCAGGATCTGAGCAATGGGCACTGGGTCCTCGCTGTATCACCTGAAGCATTGAGTATTTCATGACTGTGGCAGCTCAGAATGTTGACACCACAAGTCAATGAAGGACACCAGCTGTCCATAAGATGTACTCTGTCCGATTCTCACAGGAACTAGTTCAGAGGCTGGGACTACCTGCTGGCCTTCACACACACTGCAAAGAGCTGCGGACAGGGAATCAGCTAGAAAATGTACCAGCTTATCTGGGGTGCAGTGAGTGCATACCCTGTTACAGGGGACACAGATAACTGATGATTTTGCCACTAAAAGAACGGTTGCCTTGTTACAGTTACATCTCTGTCTCAAGCCATTGTCTCAGATGTAGCACACAGTTTGTGATTTTGGAATGGTATTTAAACTTAAGCTAGACTTTTGGCTGCAGAATGTCTCCATCAGCATGATCTCTATTACCATAACTGCCCCTCACTGACTCAGTCCACCTCTGTAACACTGTCCCTCAGTGACCCAGTCCACCTCTGTATCATTGTCTCTAACCAGTCTACCTCTGTATCACTGTCCCACACTGACCCAGTCCACTTTTGTATCGCCGTCCTTCACTGACTCAGTCCTCATCCATATCACTGTCTTTCACAGACACTGTCTACCTCTGTATCTCTGCCCCTCACTGACCCAGTCCATCTTTGTGTCTCTGTCCCTCAATGACTCTGTCCACCTCTATATCATTGCGTCGCGTTGACTCCGTCCACTTCTATTTCATTGCCCCTCATTGACCCAGTCCAACTCTCTATCGCTGTCTCTCATGACCCAGTCCACATTTGCCTCATTTCCCCTACTGACATATTACATTTTAAGTAATGTCAATGATATACAAGGTATATCATAGCTGTGGTCAGTGATATACCAAGGAGGGTATTTACAAGTTGAATGAGGTCAATAACATATCATAGTTACTATTTACAGTATAGTTAGGTCAATGATGTATCCGGGATGGTCCTTATAGTTTGAGGTCAGTGATATTTGCATGATAAGGGATGGTATTTGGAGTGTAAGTGAGATCAGTGATATATCAGAGATGATATTTACAACATGAGTGAGATCAGTGATATATCAGGTTGGGTATTTAAAATATGAGTGAGCTCAATGATACATCAGTAATGGTATCTACAGTGTAAATAATGTCAGTGATATATCAGAATGGTTATTTATGAGTTAGGTCTGTGATATATTAGGGATAGTAATTACAGTATATGTGAGATCTGTGGTATTTGATTTAATTCATTATTGTCACATGGACCGAGTTACATTGAAAAGTATTGTTTTGTGTGCCACTAAGCTCTCTATCTCTTTCCTGTACTTTGTCTCGTTGTTGTTTGAGATCTGACCCACTACAGTGGTGTCATCAGTTATCGGTAAATATATCAGAGTGGGAATTTATGAGTTAGGTTAGTAATTCATCAAGGATGGTATTTACAGCATAAGTGAGATCAGTGATAAATCTGGGAATGTATTTATAGTGTTTTACAGAGTATTTCCAAAGATTTGACAATACAGAATATGAGCAAATGTAGGCACTTGAGCCTGTTCTGCCATTCAGTAAGATCATGGATGATGTGTTCTGTGGCTGAAAATGAGTAGGCTGCTGTTGGGGTGGAATGACCAAATGATTGTCTAAGATGACCACCTTTTTGTTTGAAAGTTACTTGATACCTCGTTTTAGATATTTGATATTTCTATATGTAAATTTGTCCAAATTCAATATTCTGTTTACTCCCTCAAAGTCACTAACATTTTTTATTATGTCTCGAAATCACTGAGATGGTGTGCATGCACTTTATCATTTTCCAAGGTCATTTTAAATTTCAGGTAACTAGTCCCTTTAAATGTTTTAGAATGTCAGGCCATGTGGGTCTTAATATAATTTTTTTTATCACAATTTGCTTAAGTACAACCAAGCTTAGTGGTTTAGAAATTCCTGACACTCAATACATTTAATATTTTCACAGTAGTTCACCAATGTTCAGATACATTGTTAACGAATGGCTTGATGGGTTGAGGGTGCCTCATCCATTGTGACATTGAAAGCTTGTAGACAGGTTCAGAAGTTTGTAGCCATCAGTGAAAGTCTTCAGTATCTTCAATTCTCTGAAAAACAAAACAGCATAATCTATTCCACTTCAAGTAGAATTATAATGGTTTACTGCTAGTTTAAAGGGGTGGTGTGAAAACTCCTGGACATAATTACATCAACAGCCTCTCCCCCCGTACAGAAATAAGTGTGTTATAATTAACAAAGGAAAAGCCTACCTCTTTCCTTTTAGATTCTCCTTATATAAAACTCCTCAATATCAGTTTTCTCAGATTTTAGAACATAACCATCAAAATCAAAGAGAATTACATTTCCAAGATTACAATTTCTCTGTTATTTGGATACTTTCATACCAAGTATATTTGTGATGGGCAAATCTTATCGACTGGAATTAAAGATTCACTCATGTATTAAAACAATATTTGGAAGTTCACTCTGGCTAGAAAATGAAAATCAAAGTTTCTAAATTAAAATTTATCCAGACCTCTTTCCTCAATCCAAGCACAACACACATAGTACATAACTTTGAGGAAAGAGTAAATAAGTTAGATCTTTTGACTTAATTTTTACTTCCTCAATTAACTTTAATCAACTGTAGCCAATTCCAAGAGGTAAATTTTCACCAAGCTTGAAGAATCAAATTTTTAAATCAACATTTCATCACAGATTTTTGCTTTACACAACCACTGATAGTTCCTTTAAAGAACGTTATTTTAATCATACATGTTTCATACTGATACAGGCACACATTACTCTTTCAAATCACCATACATTCCCAAAATACAAACTAAACTCAAAATATGCCCAGAGTTCGAGCTTTGGGAGACAAAACACACAAATTACACAAGGCAACATTTAACAACTAACAAGCGAAGATGCATCCAAACCAGACCACGAAGAGTTAGTATTTAGTCGAGGGGCTATGGGCAATCACATTCACATCCAGCCAGTAAAGACTTAATTCCTTGATCAAACCCAAAAGCTGGCCTCTCTCTCTCTCCCTCCAAGACTTGTAAATAGAGCGAGAAGCACACAGCAGCTTCACATTCCAAGACTAACAGCCATTTACAAGGTGTTTACCTCCACAAATCTCAGCTTTGACACATATCTGCTGACTAAAGAATCCCTCTTTAATTTGACATGAGCTCAATGCATGAATATTAGGCCTACTGTTCCTTATTTTTCTTTTCTTTATCCCACCAGCCTCTTTCCATGTTAGGTTGGTCTGCAGAATTCCAATTTTCTTTAATCATTAGATCAATTAACTTCTCATTTCTCTCTGTGAGAAACTGGGTGAGGGATCCCTTGGCCATTATTATAGCATTAGGGGAGTTGTGAGTATGCAATACTCCAGGATCCAAGACTCAAAAGAAAACTCAACATTAAACACTACAGCCGTGTTCCAATCTTTGCCTACTGTGCTAAACCAAATCGTGCGCACACCCATCATTGTGGAATCACTGCACCTACACACACGCATCAAATTACCTTCTCGTCTGAGTCCTACTATATGAGTAGCCAACCCAGAGGCCCTCCCAGCCCCTTTTGGAGGAGGACATGGTGCTCCTCAGTTTCTCAATCCGTCTCAGAGGCTGCTAACCAGACAGACCTCCGGATAGTAACTATGTGCCAGCGCCAAAATACATCAACATCAGGTTAGTCACTCTTTGATTAACTTCAGTCCATTCTGACCTTTTCACCAAGTCCTATCGTGATGACCAATCCAGAGGTCCCCATCTACAGACTGTTGTCCTATTGACTTGACCCACCCTGGAGGGCTTAACTCGCCACTATCCCAGGTTATTGTGACCGACCACAAGCTACATCACTTGCTGTCCTGGTATCCCCACTCTTTGAGACTGAGTGAACCCAATTTTTGTTTGGGTACAGGGTGGGGGGCAGGGGTGCTCACCAAGAGCTCCGAGTTAACCAAACAGATCACAATGAATACAAAATACTCACGTAAGCTGAGTCCTCACTTGTCGGTGATCCTGCTTCCCGTACCCTGCTCACAGTGCCAAATTGTTGAGTTGGAATCACCGAATGATTCACTCAACTCGGAAAACCCAGAGAGGTCTTCATCAAAAAAGAAAACATATATTTTTATACATTTGTTTCATCCTGCCTTTAACATTTACAAACCAAATCATATTATTAATTAATTACATACGTTTCCAATTAAGCTAATCATATCACTGAACAGCTCGAGACGGACAGGTTTGTGGTCAAACCCGGGTCCTCCATGATCTCATGTGAAGACTACATTAAGCAAATATTTTTGCAAGCTCTCTAAATACTGTCAGCCATGTTCTGCTGCATTAGCCATGGGCAGCCATCAGCCATTTTGTGCTAACAAGGTGTAGAGCTGGATGAACACAGCAGGCCAAGCAGCATCAGAGGAGCAGGAAGGCTGACGTTTCGGGCCTAGACCCTTGTCCTGCTGTGTTCATCCAGCTCTGCACCTTGTTATCTCAGATTCTCCAGCATCTGCAGTTCCTACTATGTCTGAAGACATTTTGTGCTGCTCAGTCATGGGCATTCCTGACAGCTGCTTTGAAAGCAGCCCATACAGGAGGGGACCTGAGGTGTGTGGATGGGTAAAAAATATGGAAGGGGGTGTTGCTGCCCTAATATGCTTGAACTCGATATTGAGTCCTGAAGGCTATCCAGTCATTATCACTGACGTAGCTTCTCTTTTTATCAAAAATCCCTTTGTCTGCATTAACTGTTTCCCTCCCTCTCTCTCTGGGCTCCTTCTCCACCTATCTGCTCACTCCTTTCCCTGCCCTTCCCTGTCATCAATATAAATAGCACTTTTTTCTAGCCGCTTTCAGTTTTGAAGGAAGGAAGGAAGATTCCTAGATTTGATGCGTTAACTCTGTTTCTCTCTCCACAGATGCTACAAATCCTTTTGGGTTTCTCCAGCACTTTCTGTCTTTGTTTCAGATTTCCAGCATCCACAGTTCTTTATTTTGTTTTAGTGTTTGATTCACTGTCACATCTCTTCCAGGTATGCCTACCTTGAGGAAGTTCTACTCCTCTCTCCAATAATATTTTTGTTTTAATCTTTCTTCTTGTTCACCACAAATAGTTTAATTTTCATTCCCAATATTTGACAAGGTATTTGCCAAAATTCTCTTCGAGTTATATTCCTCAGTGACTGCTTCTGGCTCAGACTTTCCACACGGGGATTCTGACAGAAGTTTCATCCTTCATGTTTCAAATCCACCCAGGATCACTGCTGATCTCCCCTGAGGTACAATGCTACTCAGACAGCCATTCTTCTGCATCCTGAGATCCACAGTCAGTGCCATGCACCACCACATGTATGCTCTCAACCTCTCTCTCTATTAGTGCCACCTCTCCTTGTCCCAGAACTGTTTGAATCCCATTTCCACTTCACTCTTCGACTTGGTCAGCATTCTAATAAGAAACGACTTCTCTTCCTTTCAGCAATTAAGGAGTGCAATCATGTAACAACTTGAGGGTACCCATTCCCCTCTGGAACCTTCCTCCCTTCCTGTTCCCTTGTCTCTACCCCTTCTCCTAACCTCACCTCTTGTCGCATACTTACTATCTGGTCCCTCTCCACAACTTTTTCTCCAATAGATTGATGACATTATCAGTGCAGCTTCTCCTCTGGAATTAGAAAGATTAATTAATTTTGCTTCCAATTCCCACCTTGCCCTCACCTTCACCTGGTCAATCTGATACCTCCCTTCCTGCCCTCGACATCTCTGCTTCCATTTTTGGTGATAGTCTGTCCATCAATGTACACCAGAAACCTATCGACTCCCACAGCCGCCTGGACTACAATCCTCACTACCTGCTTCCCATAAGGATTCCATTCCATTCTCCCAGTTTCCTCATTTCTGTCACATCTATTACATGATGCCACCTTCCTCAGTGTCCCTCAAACACCCACCTTCTTCTTTAACCAAGGATTTCCCGCCACCATGGTTGACAGAACCCTTAGCCGTGTCTGACCCATTTCCTGTACTTCTGTCCTCACCCTTTCTCTTTCCTCCAACAACACCAATAGGGTCCTCTAATCCTCACTTTCCAATCCACCAGCATCCAAAGGATCACATGCCACCATTTCTGACACCTCCAGACACATATTCCCCTCCCTTCCCTTGTCAGCATTTTGCTGGGACTTTTTCTTCTGGGCCACCCTGGTTCACACTTGGCTGTCTACCTCCTCCCACATCAGTATCCAAGTCTCCAGAGACACCTTCCAGGTGAAACAGTGAATTAACCTAAACTTCACACAGTATACTGTATTCACTGCTCACAATGTGATCTTCTCTTCATTGGGGAGGTGAAACATTTCCTGGGTGACTGCTTTGCAGAACATCTACATTAATGACCCTGAGTTTCCAGTTGCCTGCCACTACAACACACCACCGAGTTCCCTGGCCAACATTTCTGTCTGGGGCCTGCTGCAGTGCTCCAGTGAATCTCAGCACAAGCTGGAAGAACAGCATGTCATTTTCCACTTGGGAACCCTGCAGTCTTCTGGACTCAAATTCGAGTTCAATAATTTTGGAATCCCAACACCTTCATTCCATGTCCTTTTCACACCCCTGCGGCCCTGTCATGATGCAGGCTGCATTTTCACTCAGTAATAGTTCTCATTATCACTTAATCAGCTTCTCTTCTTCATTGAAACTGAAAGAACTGCGGGTGCTGTAAATCAGGAATAAAAACAGAAGTTGCTGGAAAAGCTCAGCAGGTCTGGCAGCATCTGTGAAGGAAAATAAAGAGTTAACGTTTCGGGTCTGGTGACCCTTCCTCAGAACTCTTCTTCGTTGGTTTATTATCAACAATCCCTTTTCCTGCCTAACATACAGGACGTTGGTGAGACCTCTTCTGCAGTACTGTGTGCAGTTCTGGTTGTCCTGTTACAGGAAGGATATTATTAAGCTGGGTTCAGAAAAGATTGACCAGGATGTTGCCAGGAATGGAGTGTTTGAGATATAAAAAAGACTGGAATGACTGGGACTATTTTCACTAGAGCGTAGGAGTTTGAGGAGTGACCTTACTGAGGTTTATAAAATCATGCGGGTCATAGATAAGGTGAATGACAAAGGTCTTTTCCCTCAGGTGGGGAAGTTCAAAACTAGGAGGCATATTTTTAAGGTGAGAGGAGGAAGATTTAGAGAGGATATGAGGAGCAACATTTTTACTCAGAGAGTGGTTCGTACGTGGAATGAACTGCCTGAGAACGTAGTGGATGCAAGCACAATTACAATGTTTAAAAAACGTTTAGATAAGATCATGAATAGGAAAGATTTGGAGGGATATGGGCCAAGTGCAGGCAGGTGGGACTAGTTTAGTTTGGGATAATGGTCGGCGCAGACTGGTTGGACTGAAGGGTGTTTCTGTGCTCTACCACTTTCTGGGATCTGCCTCCAGCTATTTGCTTGCTGCTTCAGCACTCCCCCCACCCCACCCACCCACCCACCCACTCTCATCAAGAAAAATATCACCTTTTCTTAGCTGCTAACAGTTCTGAAGAGGGGTGAATGGTTTCAAAAGTCTCTGCTTTCTCTCCACAAATACTGCCAGATCTGCTGAGTTTCTCTAGCAATTTCTGTTTTTTTTGTTTGTTATTACTGGACAAATCAGAACCTAGACTGAAGTCTGACTTAATGGATTTTTAAAAATATTTCTAGCATCCTCAGTTCTTTGCTTTAACAAGTATTTGCCCACCTCTGTCCTAAAAACTTCAATGAACCCACTTCTTTCCCAAGCTCAGAGTTCCAAATTCATACAACACTGCAAGAAAGAAAAGTCTTCTATCTGTCCTGAAATGGCAACCCCTAATTCTAAAACAGTGCCCACAAGTAACTCACTCAGAATAGTAAACATCCTTTCAACGTCCACATTTTCAGGATCTTATACACTTCAATCAGGTCACCCCTCACTGTTCTAATCTCCAGCCTATCCAACTTATTCTCAAGAGACAATCCACACATGCTAGGTATCAATCATGTAAAACTACTGTGAACCAGCGCCAATTCATTTACACTGTTATAATCCCAACCGATGTTACTATTGGGCAAAAAAGTAAAACAAAGGACTGTGGATGCTGCAAATCAGGAACAAAAACAAAAAATGCTGGAGAAATTCAGCAGGTCCTCCAGAATCCGCAGAGAGGAAACAGAGTTAATTGTTTCCTGCTCAGTGAATGACTAGAGTCCCATTGTGAAGAAGGGTCACTGGACTCAAAATGTTAACCCAGTTTTCTCTCCACAAGTGCCACCAGACCTGTTGACTTTCCTCAAAAATTTCTGTTTTTGTTTGATGCCACTGGACAAGTCAGAACCTAGACTGAAATTTGGCTTGATGGATTTTTAATATAAGCACACAACGCAGCAGATCTGGTTTTAACAGATGTTTATTTGATTTTAAAAAATGAATAAACTAAGGTACTTGCATATAAGAGAGTTGGAAGGATTTACCAGGACGTTGCCAGGTAACACACGCTAACATAAAATCCTATCTATTCCCATCACTTTACAGTATCAAATACCTCAGAAAGAGTTTCCGTGTCTATCATATCTAGAGTTTGATTTAACTGTTTATTCCAATTCCTAGTCTTGACAGTGTGATAGTCTTTTCCTTGATTTCCTTGATATTTACACAACTGAACTTTCGATTCAAATAGCACCTTCTAAACACGTATTTTTGGTCTGGAATTTTCAAACTAAAACCCCTGAAACTGAAGTAAACTATTTCCTAACTGTTCTGTATTAATTCCTTTCTTGAGGGTAAACTGTTCTTATATCTAACCTGAGTCAGGTGGTCTGCAAACTGAAACAAAGCCTTCCAGTGTGTGCTTTTTGCCCTAAGCAAAAAATTAGTTTTTGATTCTCCTAAACCAAAAGCAAGCTGATACCTTCCAATTTCTGAAGAAAGGTCCCGACCCAAAATGTCAACTTTCCTGTTCCTCTGATGCTGCCTGGCCTGTTGTGTTCCTCCAGCTACACACTTGTGTTATATCTGTTACCTTCCAATGTTTGCTTTCTCCAATCATGAAACTCTTACAAACAAATTCGTATTATCACTCTGAAAGAGCCCAGTCACCTACTCTCTGACACTTACTGGTTTAAAATCATGGCTCTAAAAATACCAATACATTAATCAGAATCATACAGTCACAGATTTGTACAGTATGGAAATAGACCCTTCAATCCAACTTGTCCATGCCAACCAGATATCCTAAATTAATCTAGTCCCATTTGCCAGCATTTGGCCCATATCCCTTTAAACCCTTCCTATTCATATACCCATCCAGATGTCTTTTAAATGTTGTAATTGTACCAGTTTCCACCATTTCCTCTGGCAGCTCATTCCATACATGCACCACACTGTAAGTGTAAAAGTTGCCCCTTAAATCCCTTTTAACTCTTTCCCTTCTCACCTTAAACCTATGCCATCTAGTTTTGGACCGTCCCACCCTGGGGAAAAGACTTTGTCCATTTACCTTATCTATGCCCCTCATGATTTTATAAACCTCTATAAGGTCACCCCTCAGCCTCTGATGCTCTAGAGAAAATAGCCCCAGCCTATTCAGCCTCTCCCTATAGCTCAAACCCTCCAACCCTGGCAACATCCTTGTAAACCCTTTCAAGTTTCACAACATCCTTCTGATAGCTGGAAGACAAGAATTGCATGCAGTATTCCAAAAGTGGCATAACCAATGTCATGAACAGCTGCAACATGACCTCCCAACTCATATACTCAATGCACTGACCAATGAAGGCAAGCATACCAAGTGCCTTCTTCACTATCTTACCTACCTGTGACTCCACTTTCAAGGAACTATGAACCTGCATTCCAAGGTGTCTTTGTTCAGCAACTCTCTCCAGGACTGCACCATTAAGTGTATAAATCCTGCTGATTTGCCTTACTAAAAGCAGCACGTCATATTTATCTAATTTAAATTCCATCTGCCACTCCTCGGCCCATTGGCCCATCTGATCAAGGTCCCGTTGTACTCTGAGGTAAACTTCTTTGCTGTCCTCTACACCCCCGATTTTGGTGTCATCTGCAAACTTACTGACCATATCTCCTTTATTCACATCCAAATCATTTATATTAATGACAAAGAACAGTGAACCCAGCACTGATCCTTGTGGCACACTGCTGGTCATGGGCCTCCCGTCTGAAAAGCAACTTTCCATCACCATCCTCTGTCTCCTACCTTCGAGTCAGTTCTTTATCCAAATGGCTAGTTCTCCTTGCATTCCACATGATCCAACCATGCTAACCAATCTACCATGAGGAGCACTGTCAAACATCTCACTGAAGTCCAAATAGATCACGTTCACTGCTTTGACCTCATCAATCCTCTTTGTTACTTCTTCAAAAAACTCAATCAAGTTAGTAATACATGATTTCCCATGCACAAAATCAGTCCTTGCCTTTCCAAATACATGTAAATCTTGTCCCTCAGGATACCCTCCAACAAATTGCCCACCACTGATGTTAGGCTTACTGGTCTATAGTTCCCTGACTTTTCCTTACCATCTTTCTTAAATAGTAGCACCATGTTAGCTAACCTCCAGTCTTCTGGCACTTTGCCTGTGGCTATTGATGATTAAGCCCCTCATGTACATAGGCCAAAATCCACAAGCCACTAGTTCAAAATCCAAATAGCAATATCATATCTATTAGGGGAGGCAATGGCCTAGTGGTATTATTGCCGGACTATTAATCCAGAGACCCAGATAATGTTCTGGGGACATGGGTTCGAATCTTGCCATTGCAGGTGGTGTTTTTGAATTCAATAAGTATCTGGAAGTAAGAATCTAATAATAACTGTGAATCCATTGTCAATTGTCGGAAAAACCCATCTGGTTCACTGATGTCCTTTAGGGAAGCAAACTGCCATCCTTACCTGGTTTAGCCTATATGTGACTCCAGAACCACAGCATTGTGGCTGACTCTTAACTGCCCTCTGGGCAATTAGGGATGGGCAATAAATGCTGCCTAACCAGCGATGCCCTCATCCCATGAATGAATAAATAAATGATCATAGAATCCTTACAGTGTAGGAAGAAGTCATTCAGCCCATTGAATCTTTACCAATCCTCCAAAAAGCATCCACCCCATCCCCCCACATTTTATCACGACTAGCCCAACTAACCTGCGTATCCCTGGACACTTCAGGGCATGGCCAATACACACCTAGCCTGCACATCTTTGGACTGTGGGAGGAAACTGGAGCACCCAGAAGAAACCCATGTAGACACAGGAAAACGTGCAAATTTCACATAGACACAGTCACCCAAAGCTGGAATCAAACGCAGGTCCCTGGTGCTGTGAGGCAACAGTGTACCACCCTCCAGAAAGAAACATTCACTGCCGTGACTCGAACTAAGGTTCCTGCAGCCACAACAAAGAGTACTGATCAGTATATGATCATGGCACAGTACAGTGATTATAAATGATGTTAATAATAACAAATTACATACTTTATATTACACTTCTCCCAAAGAAGAATGAATATATATTTTAAGAAGCATTTACATTACCAGTCAAAAATATCTTAATGCTATTTCTATGTTGAATTACAGAAATAACATTGACATTAAACATAGAATGATTTACACAGCAACTATCTTTTACACAAGTCCATGACCATCATAGCCCTCAGTTTCCTGAACACGTGCTCTCACTACAGCATAGGCTAAAATGGTTTCTTTCCCAGACATGACTGACTTTCAAATTATATGGTGGTGGAATTAAGATCCACCAAAAGAAATAAGCTCTTGCTTCAAATTTTTTCCAAAACAAAAAGTCAAAGGACTGTAATCTGTATAAATAAGCTTTTTGTCTCCAATTGTTGGTGATGTGCTTTTCAAAACAATGTAGAGCTAACAAGGCTCAATGTCTCCTCAATTGTTCAATATTTTTATGGAAATACAGTCAGTTTCTTTGAAAGAAAATTGACAGGCCATGAAATCCCCGTCTTGTCAGCTTGCAGCGAAACAGTTCCCACACTGATTTCGCTGGCATCAAGTCAGTTTGAACGGCTTCTCAATCTGGCACGGTTCTTAGCATGGCTCTCTAATTGTCTTGCATCCATTCAAACTTTATTTCTTTCTTCAGCAACATTTCTAAAGATGCCATGACGGTACTGATGTAGGGAACAACCTATTGATAAAATCCACTCATATCAGCATACGGCAAAATTTTGTGTCTTGTCCGAAGCACAGGATAATCCAAAATAACACTTACTGCCACTTCTCTAGGTGCTACTTGGCCTTGTCTAACAGTGTGATCCAAAGGAGTTACTATTACTTTGTCAAATTCACTCAGCCAAATTTATAACTAAATTGGCTCTTTGTAACTGATAAACAGTGCAATGAAGTGGTGTAAACGTTCCTTCCACATTGTTGATATAAACAACGCAATCACACATTCCTTTAATGATTTTATTGGTTAATCATTAACAGGATTATAGGTGCATTTTTCATTCCAAATGGCATGAATTAGCATGCTAAAGTAAATCGAAAGTTACAAAAGCTGATCTTTCATTCATTCGGGCAATGGAACTTTTTTTTATTCACTCATGGGTTGTGGGTATCGCTGGCTGGGCCAGCATTTATTGCCCGTCCGTAATTGCCCTTTAGAAGGTGATGGAGAATTGCTTTCTTGAACTACTCCAATCCACATGCTGTAGGCAGACCCACAATGCTGTTAGGGAGGGAATTCCAGATTTTGACCCAGTGACACTGAAGGAGCAGGGATCTATTTCCAAGTGGCTTGGAGTGGAACTTGGAGGTGGTGATGTTCAATTTGTCAATAATCTTTTAAGCATTCAATTCTGGAGACAAGCTGTGCAATTGCTCAATTTGTTTAGTGCAATCTTGGAACATGACAATTCTGCTTTTGTTACCACATTGACTTTGTGATAATCAGTATAGAATCTTGGTGACGCATACTGTTTTGGCACTATTACGATAGGTGAGCTTCAGCTACTACAGTTCACTAAAGTCATTGTTCAACGTTAACAAAATCTTCCCTCACTTGAAATAATTTCTCTGGATTGAGCCTGTAAGGATGTTGTTTTAGAAATAATGCACGCCCATATTAGAAACATAGGAAATAGGAGGACTAGGCCATTCAGAGCTTTGAGCCTGTTCCACCATTTAATTTGAACATGGCTGATGATCCAACTCAGTAAAGTTTCTACCTTCTCCCCATACCCTTTGATCCCTGTAGCCCTAAGAACTGTATCTATTCTTCTTGAAAACATTTAATGCTTTGGCCTCAATAACTTTCTTTGGCAGAGAATTCTACTGGGTCACCACTCTCTGGGTGAAGAGATTTCTCCTCATCTCAATTCTAAATGGTCTACCCCCTATCCTTAGAATCATCCGCAGTTCTTTTGGTTTTTACCCCCTATCCCTAAACTGATTCTGGACTCCCTGATCTTTTCCTGCATTTACCCTGTCTAGTCCTGTTAGAATGTTATAGGTTCATATGGAATCCCTTATTCTTCTAAACTCCAGTGAATATAGTAATAACCAATCCAGTACCTCTTCATATGTCAGTCTTGCCATCTCAGGAATCAGTCTGGTGAAGCTTCGTTGCACTCCACAGGCAGAATATTCTTCCTCAGATATGGATTCCAAAACTGCACATAGCACTCCAGATGTGGTCTCACCAAGGCCCTGTACAGTTGCAACAAGACATCCCCTATCCTCTGCTCGAATCATCTTGGCATGAAGGCCAATACACCTGCCTGTTCCACTGCCTGCTGCACTTGTAAGCTTACTTTCAGCAACTGATGTAGGACACCCAGGTCTTGCTGCACCTTCCTTTTCTGAATTCATTGCCATCTGCCTCCCTGTTCCTGCTACCAAAGTGAATAACTTCACATATATCCACACTATACTTCATCTGTCAGAACTGTGGGTGTTGGTCAGTGCTCTGATGAAGTCACAGTGGACTTGAAGCGTTAACTCTGTTTTCCTCTCCACAGACCTGCTGAGTTTCTTCAGGACTCTCCCTTTATTTCAGAGATATATTAAGAATTTAGTGTTGGTATTTACAGTGTAACTGCACTGAGTGAGGTATCAGGATAGAATTTACAGCAAAAGTTGTACGACAGTTAAATCTGAATGGCTAGCTACAATGTATGTGAATGGATAATTACAGTGCAACACGGCTACTTAGAGTATTGATGATATCGGTCATGTACCTTGGTAGCTAGCTGAAGTACAGGTGAAGACAGTCAGATATCATGCAGGTTCTTACAGTAAAGTGAGAATGGAGAGAGGTCTTGATCAGTCGTTACATTATGAGTGAAATGAAGGATATACCTGGATATATATTCATAATAAAAGTGAGGTTGGTATGAATGGGCATATTCACTACACTTAAGGACATTGATATATCTGAATAGCATAGTTACAATACAACTCATCAGTTAATTATTAGGATGGGTACAGTACCAATAATATCAGTACAGTAATTCTATAACCAGTACGATTAATTAATGACAGTAGAATTGAGACTTTTCATGTATTTTGAAGTCTGGTTACTATACAAGAGAGGTCAGTGCTGTATCTGGGTCATTACAGTGGACCTGAGCTTCCTCAAGGGTTAGGGTGTTTATGTACTGTACAAAAAGGCAGCTGTTATATTTGTTTCTGAAGGGTCCCCACCCGAAACGTCACCTTTCCTGCTACTCTGATGCTGCCTGGTCTGCTGTGTTCCTCCAGCTCCACACTGTGTTATCTCTGACTCCAGCCTCGGCAGCTCTTGCTATCTCAGCTGTTATATTTGGTTGTCTAACTACAGTCTAATCGAGGCCAGTAACATATCGAGAAAGATAGTGATAGTATAGGCTTGCTTTCAGCGTCACGATTGTAGAGCGCGCGAGCCAGGAAGTGAACTATTATATTCGGGCATTGGTTAAACCCGAAACACTACACGTGTAGTGTCTCCCACCCATCCTCCTCCGCTAACCAAAAAAAATGGCTGTGTGGAGGGCCGTTTGGTAAGGCTTTTTTTTTATTCTTCTGGAAATCTAGAGTAGAGGGAATGGAAGCTAGGGTAGTTGCATGCTCCTCTTGTCTGTGACAAGTGCACCCAACTCCAGCTCCTCACAAACCACATTAGGGAACTGGAGCTGGAGCTGGATGAATTCCAGATCATTCGGGGAGCTGAGGGGGTGATGGAGAGGAGTTATAAGGAGGTGGTACAGGAAAAAGGTAGCTGGATGACTGTCAGGAGGGGGAAAGGGAATAGGCAGACAGTGCAGGGATCCCCTGTGGCCGTTCCCCTCAATAATAAGTATACCGTTCTGGATACTGTTGGGGGGGACGACCTATCAGGTGACGTCTTGGATCGTGTCTTCAAGATCCTTAAGGGGGAGGGTAAGCAACCAGCAGTCACGGTACACATTGGTACCAATGACATAGGTAGAAAAAGGACTGAGAATGTGAAAAATGAGTACAGGGAGTTAGGTTGGAAACTGAAGTCCAGGACAAACAGGGTAGTTATCCCTGTGATAATAAGGTAAAAAAAGGGAGAGAGTGCAGCTAAACACGTGGCTACACCATGATGTTGTGCCGAACTTTTACCCTAATCCTAAGGTCTATCTAACCTCCACCCCTACCTTATACTATCATCCATATGCCTATCTAATAGCCGCTTAAATGCCCCTAATGAGGCCAACTCCACTACCCTCTCCGGCAATGCATTCCATACCCAACCACTCTCTGAGTAAAGAACCTACCTCTGATGTCTCCCCTATATCTACCTCCACTCACTTTAAAACTATGTCCCCTTGTAATAGCTACCTCCACCCTAGGAAAAAGTCTCTGGCTGTCTACTCTATCTATACCTCGGATCATTTTGTACACCTCTATCAAATCACCTCTCATCCTTCATCGTTCTAAAGAGAAAAGCCCTGGCTCTCTCAATCTTTCCTCATAAGACCTTCCCTCCATTCCAGGCAACATGCTGGTAAATCTCCTCTGCACCTTTTCTAATGCTTCCACATCGTTCCTGTAACGAAGCGACCAGAACTGGACACAATACTCCAGATGTGGCCGAACCAGGCTTTTGTATAGCTGGAGCATAACTTCACGGCTCTTGAACTCAGTCCCTCTATTAATGAAAGCTAACACACCATACGCCTTCTTAACAACTCTATCCACCTGGGTAGCGGCTTTCAGGGAACAGTGGAGATGAACCCCAAGATCCCTCTGCTCCTCCACACTGCCAAGAATCTTTCCGTTAACCCTGTATTCTGCTTTCAAGTTTGTCCTTCCAAAATGAATCACCTTACACTTTTCAGGGTTAAACTCCATCTGCCACTTCTCAGCCCAGCTCTGCATCCTATCAATGTTCCTTTGTAACCTAGAACA